CCGATTCCAGCTCCTGCTCCTATTAATCCTGAACAAGCTAAACCTGCTCCTATGTATTTTGCTGCTGCTAACATTTAGTTTTGTTTTTTTTTTTTTTTATATTAATTAAGAGAATCTTTTTATCATTTATTTTTATATTTATTTGTATTTGTATTTGTATTTTTATTTTTATTCACTTATCTTTATTTAAAATATGCATTTGATATCTTCGGATTCTTAATTCTTATTTGGATTATTAGCACGAGCATGATACATTAAAGGATTAAAAGGTAAGTATAAACTGTTTAGTGATACTTAAACAGTTTAAAACAATTTAATATAAAAATACGATATCTCAGTAAATTATCAATATCACAATACAAATCTACTTCTTTTATTCTATTAATCGCGCTCCGAATAAGAAGAATAAGAATAAGAATAAGAATAAGAATAAGAATAAGAATAAGAATAAGAATCATAGTGGGTCGGGTCCCTCCCCTCTCCTCTGCTTCCCTGCGCTCCTCCACTCCCCCTCCCCTCGCTTGGACTACTACTACTACTTCAAGCAGGGGAGGGGGCTTGTGGATCCACTATGTCCCTGTCCCTAGCCCTCCGCTTTGACTTCTCCCTACGGGAAAGGATGAAGGGGTAAGGGGTAAGGGAGGCTAGGAGGACATCAAGCACACATAGTGGATGGGGTCGGTGCGGGGCAAGGGAGTGCGCTTGGGGTTGGGTAAACGAAGAAGGGGCGGGACGAAAGGGAGGGGTGGAGAGGGGGATGAAATTAGAATGACGGTATACGCCCAGCTTCCAATTATTTCCTAAAAATTAAAGGAGGTGCGCATTAAATTTAAATAAAAGTAGAGAAAAACAAATCTTAGTAGGCCTCCCTAAAAGGGGAGACACAAAAATAAATAATTAATATTATAAGCGAATATAGTTAAGTGGTATAACTGCTGTCTTCCAAATAGTAATCATCGGTTCGAATCCGATTATTCGTATACATCTAACTTAATAAATTTAATGCATTTGTAAGCTCGATTTAAAAAGGCAAAGATAAGTTAATATTCAGATCTTCTGGGGAAGGCGAAGCCTGGCTCCGCCACACAAATACAATAAAGAGCGTAGTATAGTGGTAGTATATTGATCTTCAAAATCATAGGTAGGTGTTCGATTCGCCTCGCTCTTGTAATTGGACCATCGCACTTCTGCGCTTAGGCCTACGGCTTTAAACCATCTAGTTTTAAATTATTTAAATAAATTTAAACCAACCCTTCATACACATCCTCCCCTTAGGGGCGGGTACATCTACCTATCTCTATCCCTTTAAGAACAGGAGTAAGGAGGTGCGCAATCTTAAAAAAAAAAGCGGATGTATGAATGAGAGAGAAGCAACGCTCCATCTTAACTTTATTATAATTATTGAGCGTCTTCTTCAGGCCTTTATCTAGCTATGATAAATCAAGAGACCGGAGGCTGCCTCTCCCTTCCCCTGCTAATAGTCACCATCCTATCCCCTTAATAATAATAATAATAATTAAAGCGACATCAAGAGAGAGGGTCCCTCTCCTCCTTATCCTACCATGCGCTCCTCCACTTTGACTTCAAGGCTTGAAGTCCTCCTAGCCACTCCCTTTGGGGTAAAGTGGAGCCACAAACCCCCTATCCCTTCGGATCCTAGCCCTCCGCTTTGACTTCTCCCTACGGGAAAGGATGAAGGGGTAAGAGGTGGGGGGAGTGGAGCCACAAGCCCCCTCCCCTGCTTGAAGTAGTAGTAGTAGTCCAAGCGAGGGGAGGGGGAGTGGAGGAGAGGGTGTGGGGAGGCAGAAGAAAGGAGAGGAACCCTTTTCATAAGCAGAGACCCAGTATCCCTCTTCCTCCTCCTCTGCTTAAGAGGGGAAGGGAGGAGTGCGAACGTGGGATCGGGTTCGGCATAAGCGAAGAATAGGAAAAGAAAGAACAAATGCGCAATTTAAAATGAAGGGTTGACTTCAAATCATTCCTTCCAGAAGATAAAAGGATGAAAGAAAATGAACAGGAAGTGCTTATAGGGTTCTTAGCTTAATTGGTAAAGTACCTAAGCGTCACTTAGGGAGATACCGGTTCGAATCCGGCAGAACTCGTATTAAAAAAAAAATATATGAAAAAAGCAAAATTTCTTAGCCTTTTAGCTAATCTTTTTAGGCGCCCGGCGCATCCTGTCTCTGTCCTTCGGATTCTTATTCTTATTCTTATTCTTATTCGGAGGGCTTAATTTTTAAAATATAAATAATATGCGCACCTATCATATCCCTCTCTCTCTTCTTTTTTTAGCTTCAGGTCACTATGTGGATCCACTATGTGACCTGAGGCTCAAAAAGAAGAGAGAGGGGAGTGGTGCAGTGTGTCAGAAGGAGGGGAAGCGTCCGTCACAAAACAAATAATAGTGGGATCCATTTTATTTCTTCTTTTATTCCACCAAATTTTGGCATGGGAAAATGTAGTCAAGGGATAAGGGGTAATACGAGTACAAATAATTTATAAATTTATTTTTTAAAGTAGTCTAAAATCTATTTTAAAGTAGCGAACGGATTTCATAAATCATTTCCGAGGTGGTGTGGCTTTTAGAAAGGTACCGTTCACATTTAAAATCAGTTCTATTCTGTATGACAGTCATTTATGTCCTTTTAATACTGTAGATCCCCAGATGTAGCCTTGCTCACTGACCCATGTGTATTTTACAGAATCTGTTTCCGTTTCAATTATCAAATTCATTCCTGCATGAATTAAAGCATCTATGTTATCAGGTACTATTATATCATCCTCAATACCTCCTGTCATGCTTCAACCTATAGTATCAATCATAGGTTCAAAGGATGCATTAGAGTCAGTAGGAGAAGGTGTTGGTGGAAAAATATTTAAAATAATGAAATCTGATGAAAAAACAATGAGATTAATAGGAATAGCGGCTATTTTTATTAATCAGATTATTTTAATTAATCAATGTAGATCTAAGCTAATAAATTTAAGAATTAAAAAATAACAAAAATTAGATATAGAAATGATTAAATTTATTATTTTTTTAATATTTAATATAATATATACAGATATAGAAAGTATGAATAGTTTTAACATTTTTTTTTTTTATTTTATTTTTTTTTTTTTTTCGTCTTTGCGACTTATACTTATAAACAA